TTTTCCAAGTTATAAACATTTTTTATCTACTTATACATATATTTTCATTACCGAACTAAAAGTATTTTTAGCAGGGCATCGTCTTTGAGGAAACATTTGTTGCTAGAGATGTTGAGCTTCTCTGCAGTTTCCATTAGCTCGCCCATACATGTAGTGGTTATCTGCCAATTCTATGTTAGAATAAGCTGCCATGTTGGTGAATACTATCTATGCTTAAATAAAGACTGATTCCAAATCCATACAGACCTATCTAATAATCTTTTGTTTACTTTAGAAAGTGAATGGAAGTACAATTCATGAAACGTCGAAGCGAGGCATGTCGTCCGACGTAAATATGTACAATATAAATAAGAAATGTTTATAACTAGGAAAGGAAGCGTTTCCGAACCCATGTTTATATGACTTTTTTTCATCCTTATAATGAGTAGAATATGCTCTTAAAATTTGGCCAACTATTTCTGAAACACCTTGTATAAATACATAAATATAAACATATATAGAAATATATAATTATTTATAATTATACGCGCAATATGTCCATACATATGTATCCATATATGTTTCTTTCTTTTGTAAAACTATTGTATATGTATAGTACAAGAAAAATAATAAATAAGAAATAATTAAAAAGATAATTTTGGCATTGTTTTTTTTATAAAAAATAAAGTTTAAAAAAATGAGAAAAAATTGCTCATATACATATAATCATATATGTATAATGAAATACATATATATATACTTATATATGAACAATTTTTTCACATTTTTTAAAATTTGATTTTTTGTAAAAAAAACAATGCAAAAATTATCCTTTTAATTATTTTTTATGTCTTCTTTTTATTATCATTTTTCTTTACCAAACAATAATTTTAAAAAGGAAACAAACCAACGAAGGCAAGATGAAAAGTTCTCGACCTGACATAAAAATGGTACCGGGAGTGTCAAATGGCTACGATTTTTCTTAAGTTTGATCTTTCAGAGACCTACCGAAAAAGTTTCAGACAGATGTGATTAGTAGTTTGTCTTCTTGTGTCGAGTAAAACAAACAAGTTTTGGTGTTTCTCGAAAAATGGATAAAATCGAATGTCGCGCAGTGATAAAATACTTTATTTTGAAAGGTTTAACGCCAATGGAAAAAACGAGATGGATTCCACTTTGGGAGACTCTTTATCATCGTTTTCGACAGTGAAAAAATGGG